GACTGGGCACCCCCGTCCGCTTGACTCGCAGTGTCCAGACTCTGCCCCTGCCCACCACCTGTGCAGCGGCTGGCACCAAGTGCCAGATCTCAGGATGGGGCATCACCAATCAACCATGGAGTAAGGGGGCATCAGGGTCAGGGCTCAGGATGGGCAAAGTCTGGGGTGTAGGGCCTCATGCCACTTCAGCAGAAGGATGCATTAGGGTCAAACATGAGGATTGTGGTTTGGGATCAGAGATCATGGTGCACCAGGGATCCTGGGAGTCAAAATGGTTAAGGGGTTGGGTATAGAGTCAGAAGTCATGGGTCGGGATGTGACTGGAGGCCAGAGTGATGGCAGAGGTCATCAGACTGGAGCAAAAGACATTTATAAATAAGATCTTGGGGTCATGGATCATGGACTCTAGTGTTAGAGGTCACTGTAGAGTTGAGGACTTGGGATCCAGATGTTGCACAAGCTGGCCATAATCTGAGGGTGGAAACTGGGATTCATTTGGGGGTCACTGGCCTGGGATTGGAAGCCCTAGAGGTTAGGGGTCATGAGATCTAGGGTCAAATAAACAGGGATCATAAGTCACTTTGGAGCTGGGACCAATGGCTTATTGCTTGAGTTTGGAAGTTTAAGAGAAGACAAGGAATGCGGGGTCTGGACACAGAGAGGGAACATGAGGTTAAGCTGGGATCTAAGGATAACAAGATTGAAGGTAAAAGGTCACAGCATCTGGAATTTAAGAAGAAAAGTGGGTCTGGATTCGTTGCTTCTGAGGTTGGAGGGACAAAGGGTGTCTTGAGTTAAGGCACTCAGAGTCATAGGTTAAAGGTCGGGAGACTGGATCAATGAACTGGGGCAAGGCTCACTATCAAATGAAGTCATAAATCTGAAATTTAGACGTTTGCAGATTGTAGTGGGGGGGGTTTCACAGGAAAAGGGCAGGGTATAGACTCATATTTGGCTTCCTTTAGTAGAGGGAGGTGGCCCCCAAGTGGGGAACTTTGGGAAACCCTATGGGTTCTATCTTCCACCCCCAGACCCATTCCCGGACCTGCTCCAATGCCTCAATGTCTCCATCGTTTCCAGTGCGACCTGCCGGACTGTGTTCCCTGGGAGAATCACGGACAACATGGTGTGTGCCATAGGCGCGGAAGGGGCAGACGCCTGCCAGGTGAGTGAATGTAGGCAATGCGTGGTCACTCAAGGGAGGACGTTTGGGACAGAGCAGGGAGGATGGGGGGCAGACAGAGGTGGTCAGAAAGGGGAGGCGCAGGATAAGGCAGGGAGAGCAAGGTGATGGAGGTCAGAGAGGAGGGGTGGGTGGTGGAAAACAGAGGGAGGGAGGGAACAGAGAAGGAAAGATGGGAGGGGCACAGGAGAGGGAGAGGAAGAGAAGACGAGGGAAGGCCAAAAGGTGGCAGGGACTTGGAACTGAGGTGTGTAACCAGTTGTCTCTCCCCATACCGTCCTGCAACTGATGTTGGCCCAGGCGAAAGTGAGAGGATCTAGGATGGAGGCAGGAAAGGAGGCTGGTGGACTCTTCTGCGCTCGAATTCTGCTACCTTGCTCCCTGGGGTCCTCCAGGTTGGAGGCTGCCCCACCCTACTGGCTAAGGCTCCAGCCTTTGTGCCTGAGAGAACATTTATAGCTCCCGACTTCCTTTGCTGGGATTGGTCACTGATGGCGGTACTCTTTCCCTCATTGGTCAGGACCCCAGCCAGTCGTCCTCTACAGAACTCCTGTTCCTCACCTCCTTTGCTGGGATTGGTCACTGAAGATAGTGTCTTCACTCATTGGCCAGAGCTCTAGCCATTGTCCTTGAGAGACCCCCTCCCCCACCTTCTATGGAGTCCTGCTTTCCCCGGGTTTGGCCACCTGGGGATGGTGTGCAGTGCGTTCTTCCGGGTTGCTCAGTCATTGTCGTGGAGGGAAGACGGAGAGCACAGCAGTGCTCTTCTCTGCTAACCAGCCTTGGAACCTCTGTCTTCAAGGCCTGGAAATGGGTGTGGGGGTCGGGGAAAGGACAATGGGCACAGGATTTCTCCCTTATTCATTCGGTGTTTCTTCTCTTTCTGCATTCTAGGGCGACTCTGGGGGCCCCCTGGTATGCGGGGGAGTCCTTCAGGGTCTGGTGTCCTGGGGGACTGTGGAGCCTTGTGGGCAAAAAGGCATCCCAGGGGTCTACACCAATATTTGCAAATATGTGGACTGGATCCGGATGGTCCTGAGGAACAACTAACCTCCCTCCATCTCCACCGCTCAGCTTGGGGGCCACACTGACTGATCCCCAGAGCACCAGTGCCGCCTCCGTTATCATGCTGGCTCCCGCTCTTCTTGGGCTGGGGATCTTCTTCCAAGAACAACCCCAGCCAGCCCTTCTAAGTTCAATGGTTGGGGGAGGAAGGAATTTAATTCTTCCTGGAATAAATGTAACTATTGCTCTGTCTTGTCTCTTTGATATCCCCCTGCTGGTGGACGCAGGAGGGAGGCTCATGGGTTCCCCTGCCCACAGGTGTAGGAATAGAGACCACAGGATGAGAGTTTTCCCTCAGGGGTCACACAGGAATGGAGTAGAAAAGGTTACTTATAACAAAAATAGGTCCCATTTTTTTCTCCAACCAGCAGTTTGGGAACAGTGTCCATGAAGGTCCCAAGGGGGGAAAGTATTGGTCCCAAAATACCAAATGAAAATTGCAAAATAAAAATTCATGACCATTTAATTAAATGTCTATAAAATGTAACATTCTTCCACCTTCCCAATTCCAACTTGGCTTTGCTGGAGTTGTTGAGCACACATTATATTTAATGTGGAATGTGGGTTCGTTTTAATATGTCTGTGATGATGGAAGGCAGGGTGTAGCCTTGGAAAGCAAGAGGACCCAGCCTAGGTCTTAAAAATAGTCCTGCCCACCCCTTGGGTTCTGTCTTCACTGCCATCCAGGAGATGCCAAAGGAGCTTCTCCCCAGTGAATGGAAGGGAAATTTGGGATGGGAGAGTGACAGGTGATGGTGACAGCGTGGGAATTCTTGGGTGCCTGCTGTGCTGGGCTCTCCTGGAGTCTTCATCCCAAACACCCCAAGGCAGGGCTGTCCCCCCCATCTCGCAGATGAAGAAACTGAGCCTCACGGGGGTGGAGTTCCTTGGCTCACGTCACTGTGGTAGGAAGAGCCAGAGCCGGGGTTTGAGGCCAGGGTGGCTGCCTGAGGAACCCATACCTGGTCGTCTTGCCCCACTTCTGGTTAGGGGAGAGAGGAGGGCCAGACAGAGAGGCAGGAGATCTCACCGATAACAAGCAGGCCCGGAGATAGAGGGATCGGCAGACAGGAAATTGAGGTGGCTCAGATTTGGAAGTCATCGGACCCGAGTCTCACAGTGAGTAAGTGCCACAGCTGGGTTTGGGGGGGCCCCAGGGTTCCTGGGGGAGGCAGAGGCAGGAGAGGGGAGTGGAGGGAAGGGGGACAGAAGTGAAGCCCCAGAGGAGTGCTAGGGGTTGGGGCCTTGCTGAGGGCTGACTCCCTTTCCCGGGCCTTGACTCCCACAGGCCCTGACCTGCCTCCCCCACCCTCTGGTCCTGCCCCTTTGGCTGGCAGCAGCCCCACCTCTGTGACGCCCCAGTTTCCCCCCTCCTTGGAATGGAGAAGGGAGGGCCCCGAGGAAGCCAGGGGCCCACCTGGGCTTGGGCTGTGGGGAGGGAGGAGGAGGGACAGGAGGAGAGACACAGAGCCTGGAGAACAAGGCAGAGGGAGAGAGAGAGAGAAGGAGGTGGAGGGAGGCAAAGACAGAGAGACACAAAGAGAGATGAATTAAAGGAGTCCTTCAGAGAGAGACTGAGAGAGACAAAGATAGACAGAAAGACAGAAAGGCACAAGCACGGAGAGGCAAGGAGAAATATGGCCACAGAGTTACAAAAAGGAAGCAACCGCCAAAGATGAAGAGAGACAGACCCAGAAGGATGCAGGCAGAAGGAGAACCAGAGAGAAGAGGGGCTTGGAGAGGTGACAGAGGCAGGCGGGCAGGTGCACACACCCCACCCCCAGGGCAGTAAGGCAGGGCGAGGAGGCCCAGTCATCCGGGCCACCACCGGCACCTGCCTTCCGCCTGATGCTCTGACCCAATCTGCCTCTGACCCAAACCACCGCAGCTGCCGCCGCCGCCACCCCCAGCCGGCACCCAGAGCCCTAGTCCCAGAGCCTGTGAGTTGGGGAGGGAAGGGAAGACCCTCTTGCAGGGGCCTGAGCTCCCACAGAGGCCCAGGCCTCCTCTGCCTCCGCGCCATTTCTCCCTCTGCCGTGTCCTTCCTGGCTTGGGCGGGTGCTCTCTGCTTCTGTCTCTCCTACTGGCTGCCCTGCCCCCAACTTCAGTGACCTCCGATCCCTGCTTTGATAGCCGAATCCAGCCCTCCACCCCACCCCCCTGCAGGCCAGGGCAGCTGAGGGCACTGGCTCTTCCCCGGACCAGCCCCACCCAGTTCCATCTGTCTGTCCGTCAAAGGGGCAGGGATTCAGAAGGACAGGGCTGGAGCACTGTCCTTAGTAGCCTGAGCCCCCTACTGCACACCCTGGCAGCTCTCAAAGGGCCTATAGCACCCTGGGGTGGAGGCAGAACGGCCCTGGGGGGTGCTGGCTAGGTCTCAGGTGGGCAAGAAGGAAAACATTCTCCCAGATGCATCTCACGGGTACCATGGCTGACTTAAAACAGGGCCAGCCAAACCCTTACCCCAGCTAAAGACCCTCCCAGCATCAGCCACATCCTTCCTGGCTATGGCTACAGAGAAGCTTTTAGCTGAGATCGGCCCCTCCAAGGCCACCTTGATACCAGATTTTTTTTTTTAAAGCTTTGGAGGCTGGGACATGGTGAGAACTTGGGCATTCCTCCAACCGTGTTGTTTCTCCCTGGGGAGAGCCAGAGCAGGCAGGGGAGGGAGGAGAGGGCATGAACCAGTCCCTCCCCAGTCTCCCCATAAAGTGATTGGGCCCCTTGTCCCTTCTTGTTCCCAGAAGAACGTGGGGCCTGCGCTTCCCCTCTCCAGACCATGATGATTCTTCAGTTAATCATGCTTGCTCTGGTGACAGGTATGATGGGGGATGCAGGAGGGCAAAGGCCTCCCTCTCTGGTCTCTAGGGTCCCTCAACCCTCTTGTCTGGATGGTGACCGAGCCAATGCTGAAGATACAGAATAACTCACAGGGCATCCAAATGGGTATAGGAGCCATAGTAAGGTCCTGAATGCCCCTCGCTGGGCCAAGCATAATCCCTTTAGATGCTAGAATGGGGAGAGGTCAAGGAGGGTCTCAAGGGAGGGGCTGGGGCAACTGTTGTGCGGCAGAAGACAGCACAGAACGGTAGTTATTGACCAACTAGCCGCGAAGGATTTCAGTCATTTAATACCTGGTCCATCCAGATGATGCATTTCAGCGGGACACCAGGCTGGGACCTAGGCTACCCACCCCTTCTCTGTTCTCCCCACCCCCACTTCTGGGAGTTGTCTCATGCCTGAGCCCCCTCTTTTGCCCTCACTCCCCTCCAGGGCATGTAGGGGGAGAGACCAGGATCATCAAGGGGTACGAGTGCTCTCCTCATTCCCAGCCCTGGCAGGTGGCTCTGTTCCAGAAGACACGGCTGCTCTGTGGGGCAACTCTCATCGCTCCCAAATGGCTCCTGACAGCAGCTCACTGCCGCAAGCCGTGGGTGCGGGGGCTGGGGCGGGCCGGCAGGGGGCTGGAGATGGAGAGATGGATGGAGAGGGGTTTGGGGATGGGGAGGACGTGGTGGGGTCCAAGATGGACATGGATGATGGACACTGAGCCGGGATGGAAGGACGGAAGGCATTGGACCATTGGTGCTGGGAGGGGGGTTGGGTGCTGGGATGGGGATAGGGTTGGGAAGGAGGCTTCCGTGGGAAGTGGGAATGAGTGAGGTCAGAAGGGGAGCTATGTTGCTTTGTTCTCTCAGGTGCTCTCATCCCTTCCCTCTCCGCCATGTCTCTCCCCGCCTCCCCTCTCCTGCCTCTCCCCTGCCTTCCATCTCTGACCGCCATCTCTCCCACCTCAGCCGATATGTAGTTCATCTGGGGGAGCACAACCTCCAGCGGCGGGATGGCTGTGAGCAGACCCGAGTGGCCACCGAGTCCTTCCCCCACCCAGACTTCAACAACAGCCTCCCCAACAAAGACCACCGCAATGACATCATGCTGGTGAAGATGGCAACCGCAGCCTTCATCACTGGGGCCGTGCGACCGCTCACCCTGTCATCGCGCTGTGTCACTGCGGGCACCCGCTGCCTCATTTCTGGCTGGGGCACCACGTCCAGCCCCCAGTGTAGGGGCTCCAGAGGGGGACATGGAGGGGAGGGGTGGGTGATCCTGATTGTGGAAGGACAGAGGGAACCAGAGGAGCCTTCAGAGGGGAGATTCCCAGAGTACAAGAGTACGAGAGGGGGCTTCCTGGGGGTGTCAGTGGTGGGATAAGTCAAAAAGAAGAGGGAAAGCGTAAGAGCCAGGTAGGGTAGAGACTAAAGTCTTAGCCTGGGGGTCAGACAGACATGATGTGCCATACATGTGCTCACTGTAGGACCTCAGGCACGTGGCTTTGCATCAGAACCCTGGTTTTCTTCTCTGTAAAATGAGGATGATCTCACCCACCTACCAGGGCTGGATCAGAGATAGTGTCTATAGAACGACTGCCATAATACATTTACTCGCTAGCATTACCCGTGCTGTTGCTAGGAGCACAGAGATGAGTTGGGTGCAAGCAAGAAGGACGGGGACTGGCTGTAGTGTGTGGGCAGAGCAGGCACTGCAGCGTGGGGAACGGGGCCAGGGTCCCTCGTTTTCCACATCCATTCATGCCATTTCCACAGTGCACTTGCCCCATACGTTACGATGCGCCAACATCACCATCATTAAGCACGAGGAGTGTGAGAAGGCCTACCCCGGCAACATCACAGACACCATGGTGTGTGCCAGTGTTCGGGAAGAGGGCAAGGACTCCTGCCAGGTCAGGGGACAGGGCCTGGGTCTCCAGCTGCATCCCCATTCCCGTCTCCTACCTCAACCATCTCTTCATCTACAGCTACAACCTCATTCCCAACCCTGACCCTGTCTCACCCTGCCACCCCAACTCCGTGTCCACCCCTAGTTCCCATTCCTAACCTCCACGGGATCCCCAGCTCCATCCCCATTCCCACCCCTATTTCCAGCCCCAACATCCCCCAGTCAACCCTAACCCCATCTTTATCGCCACCCATACTTCAACCTCATCCCCCAGCATCTCGTGAACCCCATTCTCAATCTCCACCCCACTCCTAACACCATCCCTACAACATCCCAGCACCACCTCCTCCCTACCACAATGCCCAACCCTGTCCCCCTCCCATGGCCAAGCCACTTTTCTGACCGGTTGTCTCTCTCTCCATACCTAGGGTGACTCTGGGGGACCTCTGGTGTGTGATGGGTCTCTTCAAGGCATTATCTCCTGGGGCCAGGATCCGTGTGCTGTCACCAGAAAGCCTGGTGTCTATACAAAGGTCTGCAAATATGTAGACTGGATCCAGAAGACTATGGATAATAACTAGCCAGGACCAGCCCAACACCCCCAATCTCTACTTGGTGATGTGACTCTTACTCATTCTGTTAATAGTCAAGCCTGAGCGAGGATGCTTTTATGTATTTTCTTTTCAGCCTCCTGAATGATGAGAGAGTCTGTAGCTTAATAATCTGCTTGGGGTTTGGAATCAGTGAGGCCTGGGTTCAAATCTTGTCTTGTATTAATTTGTGATTCTGGAAGAGATAAAAGTTGTTTCATTCACTGTTGTATCCTTGAGCCCCAAAGACAGCTTCTGGCACGCACCAAGGTTTCAATAAATACTTGCTGAACGAATGAATCTTTGGAGTGCTTTATATGCCAGACCCTGATCTAAGGGCTTTTAAACAAATCAGCTAACTTAATCTTCACAAGATTCAGTGCCATTATTATGCCCATTTTGCAGATGAGGAAACTGAACACAGAGAAACTAGCCACTTGCTCAGTCACACAGCCAGTAAGGAGAAAAGCAAGGAATCTAAAGCAGTGTCTCCTTTTTTCATTCTTTTCTTTTCTTTCTTTCTTTCTTCCTTTTCTTTTTTCTTTTTATTTTTTTAAAGATTTTATTTATTTATTGGACAGAGAGAGATCACAAGTAGGCAGAGCAGCAGGCAGAGAGAGAGGATGAAGCAGGCTCCCTGTTGAGCAGAGAGCCGGATGTGGGGCTCGATCCTGGGACCCTGGGATCATGACCTGAGCCAAAGGCAGAGGCTTAACCCACTGAGCCACCCAGGCGCCCCTACTTTTTTCTTTTTTTTAAAGCAAAGTGATTTCTTAACTACCAAGCGAAACTGCCTTGACTGAGGCTCAGTTTTCTTATCTGTAAAATTGTGCACTTAAAGGAATGATAGCACAGTAGGTAAGTCAGCCTGCCCATAATTAAGAAAAGGAGCTCCCAACTGTTTTTCTTTCCAACCTCCAGGCGAGGTAGTTTCCCCAGACTTGTGCTGGTCTGTAGGACAGCCACTAACCACGTACGGCCTTCTAAATTAAAATAACCTAAAATGAGAAAAGGAGTTCTTAGGTCACGCTCGCCACATATCAGATGCTCTGTAGCCACATCTGACTGCTGTACGGAATAGCACATAGAGGGCACTTCCCCTGTTGTAGAGAGTTCACCTGGGTGGCGCAGAGCTGGACAACCTCTGCAGTTAACTCAGTTCCCACTGGAGAAGATGCCCCCAAACTAGTCCAGAGCTCAGGATCTTGTTTTGATGCCCTGCTCGCCTTTCAGGGGAGGTTGCTGCCATGAGGAGTAAGAGCCTGGAGCTGGAACTGGGGCCTCCTGGTTGTTAGGTAGACTTGCTGTGTGACCTTCTGTGAGTCACTGCCTTCTCTGAGCCTCAGTTCCTCACCTGAAAGGAGGGAGTTGGTCCAGGTGATACTGACACTCCTCTGTGGCCTTGGCCTCCTGTGATTCACGGGCCCATGTGTCATATGAAGGCACACTGATGGCAGGAAGGATCTGATGGGACCACACTTGGGTGTGATCTGCTGCCCTCCCCCCGCCCCCCAACCCGCCCCCTGCAGGAGAAGGAAGAGGGGTGCTAGTCACTGGGACCCACAGTGAGCCCACTGCTCGGGGCTCAGCACAGAGCTCCACACCGGTTCTGGGGCTCTGCCTCCCTCTCTGCTCCCCTTCCATCTCTGTGATTTCTTCCTCTCCTCTTCCTCCTCCTCCTTCTTCTTCTTCTTTTTAAAGATATTATTTATTTATTTGACAGACAGAGATCACAAGTAGGCAGAGAGGCAGGCAGAGAGAGGAGGAAGCAGGCTCCCCACTGAGCAGAAAGCTCGATGTGGGGCTTGATCCCAGGGGGGGCTTGATCCCAGTCTGGGATCATGACCTGAGCCGAAGGCAGAGGTTTGAACCCACTGAGCTGCCCAGGTGCCCCTATGTGCTTTCTTCTTTTCCTTGTCTCTGTGTGTCTCAGTCTTTAAGTCTTCTATCCTTTCCTTCCATCTGTCTTATCTCTGGCCTCCCTCTTTCCTGGAGGGCATTCTGCTTTTCTCAGTCATTAAGTAGGCATTTCCTTGTTTATTTTCCTCTCTCTTGGTGGTAATCACCTCTCTCCAATGCTATCTCTGAGACCCTGAGGCTACCCAGGGACAAGGCATCCTCTCTCCCCACCTGAGAAGGCATTTTGGAACAGGAGACCTGGGGAATCCCCGTGCGGTCTAGCTCCAAAAAGGGTGTTTGGGGCTCTAGAAGAAGCCTGTATTCCCGGGGCCCCTCCCAGAGCAGGAATCTGGGGCCCAGGTTGGGTGCCAGTCCCACCCACGGTATAATTAGGGAGAGGGAAAGGAGGGAGTGAATCCCTGGGGGGAGGGTGGGGAAATTTCCGGGCTCTTTGAGGTTAAAAGGGAAGGCCAGGCCCAGGGGTCCCAGGCCACAGGATTTCAGCAGCCCACTCGGCAGGGCACAGCCACTTCTGGGTCTCCTTCTTCCTTCCAGCATCGACTCCCAGGTGAGGTGGGATGCACCTCACCTTAGTAGGGGCGTGTTGTGAGAGCATGGGTGGGGACCTTCGGGTCGCGGGCAGCCCTGGTTGAGCCTCAGTTTCCCTATCTATGGCATGCGCCTCTGAACCTCGGACCCCCGTCCACCTGTGAAGGAGGGCGAACCCCAAAGGCTGCTGGGCAGACAGTCCAGGAAAGCTCGGGCTGGGACCTCGCTCCCCCTTCGGGCGTAGGGAAGTCAGGAGGACGCCACAAGAGGCGTCATTAGGGTAATTGTGCCCGTATTGGGTGTTCCGGGCCCCAATCGCCTGTCTGGCGGTCCGCCCCTGAGGTTGAGGGCCGACGTTTTCAGCGGGTCCGCGCGGGCTGGCTTGGCCCAGGTCGGGCAGATGGGCGAGGTGGGGTGGGTGTGGGGGTGTCTCTGATGAGGCATCTGTTTTAATTCGTCCTGGCCCCCCAGTCTCAGTCCTGGCCATGGGACTCCCGCACCGCCACCTGTGCACCGCCTCTAGCGCCCGGGCCCTGTCGAGGCTGCTGCTGCCGCTGCTCGTGACGCAACTGTGGGGTGAGGCGGGCAACAGGGCTTGGCCGGAGGTCCCCGGGAGAGTGTGCTCTCATCACCAGCCCCCGCGCACCGCGCCTCCTCTGGGGACCCCAGCACCCACCCGCGGATCCAGAGGAGGCTCGGGCCCAATTCCGCCCTGCCCCTCTCCGAGCTCCTCGCCGGGGGATCCCGACCCCAGCACTCAGCCTGGATCCCGACTCCTTTCTCCCCGCGGCCTACTTTCCCGGCCCCTTACTAACCCCGGCCCCTCTCTCAGTCCCATTCTGTCCCCGCCCCTTCTTACTCCTCGCGTTTCTCCCCAGTCTTGCCCTACTGCTCTGCCCTCGCCCCTCTCTCCACCTGCTGCGCACATCCCGCCCCTGCTCCGCAAGCTCCGTCGCGTTCTGTCGTCGCCCCCTGGTGGCCCCGTCGCCTTCCATTCCCGCTCTGCTCCGGGCGCTGCCCTCTGTCCCTGTCCCTGTCCCTGTCCCTCCAGACCCACCCAGTTCGCTCTCCTAACCCTAGTCCGCTCTAATCCTGCCCCCTTCCCCTTTCCCGCTGTTCTTCTCCTGCCACTTCCATTCGGTTCCTGCAGGACCCCCAATTTGCACGCCCCCAGCTTCCCTGGTTTTTGCTGCGGGGCCCCCCAGCTCTGGCCCTAAACCCAGCCCTTGTCCTGCCTGCTCTGATCTCCACCCCTTTTCTTTCTCCAGCCGCGGAGGCGGTGCTGCTCCCCAGAAACGACACCAGCGTGGACCTTGTGGCCTCCGGCGCTCCTTGCGCACGCGGTTCGCAGCCCTGGCAGGTCTCCCTCTTCAGTGGCCTCTCGTTCCACTGCGCGGGCGTCCTGGTGGACAAGAGTTGGGTGCTCACAGCCGCGCACTGCAGGAACAACAAGTAAGGGGAGATCCTCGGGGCAGCCACGGAGGGGCTGTGGAGCAGGTCCCTGGGAGGAGGCGGGAAGGGCTGGGGCACTTGAGTCCATGTGCGAGTCAGTGCTGGAGGACTTCCCGTAGGAGGAGAGGTGGGGTTGTGCTGTGGCCGCCAGGGGGCGGTGTGGTCCTTCTGAGCGTTTCTGGGCCTTCCGCCACCCCTGTCTTGCTGAAACTCCTTGGGTTCTGTTGAAGTGTAGATAGTTGTAGGCCACAGACAGAAGTCAGGACCTGGTGTGGTTAGTAATTTCGAACTAAGGAAATTGTTCCCCTTATGAGCTGCCACTGAGGGAGGAAGGAAGAGAGGCTTACCCCAGCACTCAATTCTTGCGCAGCTCAGAGACCCAAATGTCTAATCATTCTTCTCTGTTTCCCAAGAATTCAAGCCTCCAGCTCCACACCCCCCCCCCCCCCGGGACCTCCTCCCTCAGACCCCAGAGTCCAGACTTCTACCTTGCTACTAGTACCCTCCTTCCCAGGGACTCAGAGTCTGGTCCCAGTTCCTAACGAGGCTTTGCCCTCATATATCTCTTCCCTCCCTAGTCCTCTATGGGCTCGCATTGGGGACGACCACCTGCTCCTCCTCCAGGGCGAGCAGCTCCGCCGGACCACTCGCCAAGTCATCCACCCCAAGTACCACCAGGGCTCAGGCCCCATCCTGCCGAGGCGGACAGATGAGCATGACCTCATGCTGCTGAAGCTGGCCAGGCCCGCTGTGCTGGGGCCTCGCATCCAGACCCTGCGCCTGCCCTACCGCTGTGCCCAGCCCGGAGACGAGTGCCAGGTCGCTGGCTGGGGTACCACGGCTACCCGAAGAGGCAAGAGCGGGGGTCCCTGAGGCCAGTATCCCGGGGAATACCTTGAGGGCCAGGACGATGGGTCTGAGGGAGGAGGGGATTGGGGGCGTGGACTCCTGGGTCCTGGAGGATTAAGGGCTGGCCACCGGTTTACCTACTGTTTCCTCCCATCAGTGAAGTACAACAAGGGCCTGAGTTGCTCCAGGGTCACTGTCCTGAGCTCTAAAGAGTGCGAGGTCTTCTACCCTGGTGTTGTCACCAACAACATGATGTGTGCAGGACTGGACCAGGGTCAGGACCCCTGCCAGGTAGGGACTGGCTGTGGCGGGTCTCTGATGCATGGGAGCTAGGATAGGAAAGTTATGAGAAATCAGAAGGCCCCATCGCTGTCCCCAACCCCAGCCCAGAGTCATCCCTGTGTCCAACACTATCCCATCCCTACCCCAACTTCATTCCCGTCTCTGATTCTATCTGCTCTGCTCACCTGTTTGTGCCTGGCTCTACCCACTTCCCACCCCATCCTCAACTGCATTTCCACCTTCTGGCTATTCCTAAACCCCGACCCCATCCCTGCCTCTCCATCTGTCTTCATCCCCTCACCTGCCACAAGCTGTAATCCCAGCGGCAATGCGCTTCCATTCTCATCCCCGCTCCGATATCCACGGCCGCCAGTCCAGCCCCATCCCAACCCAGCTCATACTTAATTCCAACCCCACCCCAAGCTCATCTTTACCCAAAGGTAACTCCAACCCTGCCCAAACCCCTTCCTTCCCTATCACTATCCCAGACCCTCAAGTGACAGCCCTTGGATCGCTGTATTTATTGGATCTCTCCCCCTACCCCCCAGAGTGACTCCGGTGGCCCTCTGGTCTGTGACCAGACCCTGCAGGGCATCCTTTCATGGGGCGTTTTCCCCTGCGGCTCAGCTCAGCATCCAGCTGTCTACACCCAGATCTGCAAATACAGCTCCTGGATAGAGAAAACCATACGCTCCAACTGACCCGAGGCCCTGCCACTCCACCAGCTGCCGTCTTGCTCCTTCCTTCACAGTTGTGGGGGCTGAATTCTCCCCCTGTTCTGTTCGAACCTCCACTGCCCAACACCTGCTAACATCTTTCCTCATCTCCCCCTGCCTACTGCTGCTCTTTCCACACTTTGAAGCCAAAGTGTCAATAGAGGTGGTCAAGTTTAATTCAAGAGAAGCAAGGAAGCTGGTGGTCACCCAGCATCTGAGAGAAGTTGTCACTCACTCAGCCTGCCTCCCTCTGCTAATCCCTGCTGTGTGACCTCGGGCAAGCAGAGTAACCTGTCTGGGCCTCTGTTTCTTCATCTGGAAGATGGGGACAATGGAGTGCCTGCCTCAGAGGCAATGTGAAGAGACGATCATACAACACGACCATACAACACGAGTGCATAGGTTGCTATGGTAACTGTTAGTAAAGCATTAACATAGGGGTGGCAAGCCCTAACTGAATGTTCCCTGTTGTCATGATCTGTGAGCAGGTCCTGGTGAGGATGAACATATGTAACTTCGTGTCCTGGGGAGAAAAGCACAGGAGTAGCACCCCCGTCCCAAGCCCCCGAGCCCCATCCTCCATATCCCCATCCCTCAGGGCTGATGGGAGAATCACACTCCCCACCCTCCCCTCAATGTCCATGAAGCACCCCTTAACCACTTCCTTCCTCCCTCCCACTGTTCCCCACGTCTGGGTCCACCCAGCACCAGTTCCTCCTGTCCCAGCAGGAGCTGGGCCACCTCTGAGTCATCTGGTCCCTTCTCTGCCTTCCTGGGGCCACTAGAACCCAAGGGACCTCACCACAGATCCACCTCAGCCTCCAAGACCAGAGGAACCCGCCTCACCTTAGTTGCTAAGTTCAAGGAAAGAAGTCCTCTGAGATTTAGGGGAAGTTTTTTGTTGAGATCCCTCTCCATTCTCTCACCAATCACAAGCCCCAGTCCCAGTTCCACCATATCCCCATTCTCCTCTGAGCCCCTCACAACCCCCAGTCCACCGCCATCCCCACCCTATCCCAAATTGGTTTGGAAATTTCACCCTGGAAATATGGAAGGAGAAGGGTTCTTCACCTTTCTCAGAAAGTGTCTCCATGTAAATATTCCTATGCTGGGGGTGTATTCTACACAGAATCCAGGCAGAGCTAACCAATGTTTGGGAACCTCCATTTAGCCTGGACTCTGGAGACGTAACATCAGCTGAACATATGCACAACAGAGATGTTCCACTTCTGAGCACCTATTATATGGCAGGGGGGATGCTGGGCACTGAGAACATAGTGGTGACCACCACCACGAGGTCTTTGCCCCTACAGAGCCCACGGAAGACTGGCACATAGTCTCCAGCTCCCTTCCTCTGCCCCCATTAGCACACCCAGGAAACGCCAATCAGACATATCAGCTAAGTTTGTCATGCAACACTCGAAGAGGTGGGAACTTGATTCATTTTTAAAGGCACATCACCCATCCCTTTAGTCATCATACTACAAGTGTTTACTGAGCTGTGTCCTACTCTGGGTCCTGGAGATGAATCAGCCCGAGTTCTACCCTCAAGGAGCTGCTAGTCAGGTCAGAGAGACAGGCAAGGCTTCCATTCTTGTCATTCAGGTTTCTACGCAAATGTCACCTCAGGCCTTCCAGGATTGCCCTGGCTAAAGGGGTCCCCTGCGTCACCAGGAAAACAGTCCATTGCTGGGCTTATTTCTTTTGCAGCACTTGTTAGAACTGGAATGACCTCATTTGTTTGTTTACTGCATAATGGTCTGTCACCCGTCTCTCCCGACTCAGTCCATGAAAGCAGGGACTCTGATTTATTCACTAGTGATTTTTCTTTTTTAAAAAAATTATTTAAATCATTTACTTGTCCGAGAGAGAGAAAGAGAGAGAGAGAGCGCACAAGCAAGGGGAGCGGCAGACAGAGGAAGAAGCAGGCTCCGCCAAGCAAGGAGCCAGACATGGGGCTCAATCCCAGGACCCTGAGAGATCACAACCCGAGCCGAAGGCAGAAGCTTAACTGACAGAGCCACCCAGGCGCCCCACTAGTGATTGTTCTTTAAGTACCTGGTACAGTGCCTGGCACACGGAAGCAACTCAGTGCATCGATGGATTAACAACACAAATTGATCATTGCTAGAAGGAGGCATGGGGTGCCCTAAGCAGAGGCCATGGACTCTTTCTGAAGGACTCAGGGAAGACTTCTCAGATCAGGGGACATTTGCATGGGGTTTAAAAGGATAAGTAGGAGTGTACTGGGTAGAGAAGGAAATGTATTTCTGTCACTTATTTTGTGATCTTGAGAAAATTACTGGAATGTTCTCTTGATCTCAGTTTTCCCCTCTGTGGAATAGGGTCAAAGAGTGAGAATTAAATGAGATAGTATACATGAAACCTGCCAGGCACAGAGTACGGTCAATAAATGCAGCTATCGGGGTGCCTGGGTGGCTCAATGGGTTAAGCCTCTGCCTTCCGCCCAGGTCATGATCCCAGGGTCCCGGGATCGAGCCCCGCATCTGGCTCTCTGCTCAGCAGGGAGCCTGCGTCCCCCTCTCTCTCTGCCTGCCTCTCTGCCTACTTGTGATCTTTCTTTCTGTCCATTAAAAAAATAAAATCTTTAAGAAAAAATAAATGTAGCTATCAAGGGTCACCTCGGTGGCTCAGTGGGTTGGGCATCGGACTCTTGGTCTCAGCTCAGGTCTTGCTCTTAGAGTCCTGAGTTTGAGCCCGGCGTTGGGCTCCATGCTGGATATGGAACCTACTTTTAAAAAACAAATAAATAATTTTTTTAAAAAAGGTAGCTATGGAGATGTTATCAGAAGCAGTTAGTATGACACATAGTGTCTCTTCAGTTTCAGTCTCTACTCTTCCATCCCTATCCGGAGACAGAACAAGACGCTGTATAACCACGAGTGATGTGTATTGTAATTGAGGCAGTGCAGGGCTCTAGAGGAGAGGGATAGACTTAACACATGTGTTGAATGCCGGCTATGTGCTGGGCGCTGTTGTAAGTACTGCATGTGGGTTAATTCACTCAATCACCCCCCCAACCTGGATTACTATTACTTCTTAATATATAGGCCAACAGAGAGGTCCAGTGACTTGCCCAAAGTCACACACTTCATAGTGGCCAGCACTGAGATCTGGACCCAGGTGGTCCAGTTTCAGAGACCATGCTCTAAACCAAGTGACACATTCCAGGGGAGCCCAGACCCAGAGTGATAATCAGGTTTACAGCAATAGAAAGTGGAGGAGCCTGTGAGTGTCCAGGGGAGGAAAAGATGCATTCTTCCTTGAGAAATCAGAGGAGACCTCCTGGAGGAGGGCGCATTTAGGTTGAATCTTGAAGGACGAGTAGGAGTGTACCAGGAAAAGAATATGGAGAAAGACATTCACTCATTTAATTAACATCTCCTGAGGCCTCCTGAGAGCTCAGCCCCAAATGGGTGATCTGGGGACTTAGAGTTGAATCATATCTGGGCTTGGCCCTGCAGGTCTGCCTACCCGATGGGGAGGAGGGATGGGGAGAGAGGCAGGTGGGATGGACTGATGGGGACAGGGGAGGGGAGGAGATGAAAAAAGAGGGCAATGTTCTCAGAACTTGGCCCAGATCAGGTGGTGTTAAGAAAAAAGGAAAGTGCTTACTTCCAGGCAGGCTGGGCACGTGGGTCTTGGGTGATAAGGATATGAAGAAAGGCGTAGGGTAGTTTATGACAAGAGTGAGTCAATCCAGTTGGGACCATATTTCCTCAACCTTCTAGGAGAGGCCTTTGTCCTTGCAGGAAGGGGCCCAAATGCCCGGAACAGGGAGGGCTCTGTAGGGGGTGCACACGTGAGTGGCTTCTTGTGGTCTCTGGCTTGCTTGGTCTGTGTCTTTCCCTCTCTCTCCTTCCCTCACCCTGAATCCTTCTGTACCTCTGTCCTTCTCTCTTTTCTTAATTTGTTCTCTTTCCCTGGAAAGGGGGTCCTCCTACATATCCCTCCAGCCTGCCCCAGGCACCGGTCCTAGCTCACCACAGTTTCATTCAAGATAAATCTGCTTCCGTTTCAGGACCCAGCCTTAGGGATCACCTTTCTCTCCCTCTTCCTTCCTTCCTTTTTTTTTTTTTTTTAGATTTTATTTATTTATTGGACAGATAGAGATCACAAGCAGGCAGAGAGGCAGGCAGAGAGAGAGGAGGAAGCAGGCTCCCCGCTGAGCAGAGAGCCCGACGAGGGGCTCGATCCCAGGACCCTGAGATCATGACCTGAGCCGAAGGCAGAGGCTTAACCCACTGAGCCACCCAGGCGCCCCTCTCTCCGTCTTCCTCTTCCAGACCCCTGCATCCTGCATCCAGGTCCTGCATCCTGACATCATGGGAATGAGGGTTCCCCTCTCTGGAGATCTCAGGAAGACTCCACATCCCAGGGCTCCTCCCTCATTCAGCTCATCCCTGGCCCAGCAGGCCACCAGCTCATCCGGCTGGTGGGGGGGGGTTCCCCTGCATTGCCTCCATTTCCAAGGCCCCCAGTCAAGGCCCCAGGGCTTCCCCCTCCCCCTGGGACGTTTCCCAACCCAGATTAATCACCAGGGCGGCCCCAGAGAGGAGGAAGGAGATGGCATGGCTTACCTTCAAGAAGCACGGCCGGCAGCCTGAACACATGCTCAAGACCCAGGCGCCCCAAGGTCATGAGGCTGGGATTCGTCTGTGCTCTGTTTTCTCTCCTGGCAGGTGAGGCTCCAGCCGTCCATCCTGCTGCCTCTCCATGGTCCCGGTACCCCTGCCAGCCAGCTTGCCCTTGACCCGCCAGACTTCAGGTCCTTCCTGGTAGGCATCTAGCAGGTCTCCCCCAGCCCTCCTACCATGCTTGTCATTGACCCCTTTGCCTCCACCCCACCCCAGGGCATGGCTGGGCAGACACCCGAGCCATCGGGGCTGAGGAATGCCGCCCCAACTCGCAGCCCTGGCAGGCCGGGCTCTTCTACCTCACCCACCTGTTCTGCGGGGCTTCCCTCATCAGTGACCGCTGGCTGCTCACAGCTGCCCACTGCCACAAGCCGTGAGTGACCTGGGCACCACTGGGGCGAGGGAGAGGGGCAGTGCTGAAGGTAAGGGAGGGGTGGGGGGGGCAAGGCGCCTTCAGTAGAGGAGGGAAGGAACTGTGGTTGGGAAGGATTTGGCCTTCATTTCTGTTCCCAAAAGTTCAACTCTTAGAATTAGAGTTGACCCTCCAAATTCCAGAGTCCCAAATAATCTGATTATTAGAGTCTAAAATTCAAAACTCTTAGAAACCTAGGCTCAGACCCAGAAAAATCCAGTCATGAACTCCTAAAATCTCAGATCTGTGAGATTCTACATCAGTTTCAGTGAATTCTAGAATTGAGACTCAGACTCGTAGAATCTTAGGAGTCTAGAGCAGGGCAGCTCCGTGGGTATATATCTCCAGCCACATAGTTAAGTTTAAATTTTCTTTTTTTTTAAGATTTTATTTATTTATTTGAAAGAGCAGAGTGATGGGGAGAGAGAGAGAGTGTGTGTGCACGAATTGGGGGAAGGCAGAGGTAGAAGCAGACTCCCAACCCAAGCAGGGAACCCTGGGCAATCCCAGGACCCTGGGATCATGACCTGAGCCAAAGGCAGACACTTAACCCAGTGAGCCACCCAGACACCCCAAGTTTAAATTTTCTAATAGACATATTACAATAGTTAAAAAAAGGATTAACATTAATTTTAATAATAGATTTAGTTTGACACACTCAAACCATTATTTTATTTTATTTTAATTTTTTAAATTTAAATTCAATTAGCCAACATATAGTACATCATTCGTTTTTGATGTAATGTTCAATGATTCATTGGTTGCGTATAACACCCAGTGCTCATCAGCTCATGTGCCCTCTTCAATGCCCATCATCCAGTTACCCCCTCCCCCAACTCCCCCCCTCGTTTCCATAACCCTCAGTCTGTTTCCTAGAGTCAAGAGTCTGTCATGGCCAAACCATTATTTTAATATGCAATCCATTTTTAAATATTTATGAATGATATAGATCAGTCTTTTTGTTTAATACTATACTTCTGAAATCAGATGTGCATTTTACACATATGGCATGTCTCAGTTTGGACTCGTCACATGTCAAATGCTCAATAGTTGTATGGGAGAGCACAACCCTAGAATCTTAGGCTCAGTATCCTAGCTAGGTCCGTTGAATATAGAAGCTCATGGTCCTAGAATTTTTGATTCACAGTATCCTAGAATACTGTCACTTGCAGAATTCTAGAATCTTGAATCAATAGAATTCTAGAAGTTTATATGCATAAATGTCTTGAATCTGGTGAATTAAACAAATCTTAGAATCTTAAATCTTAGAAAGCTATCATTCCAGATTCTTAAAATCCCTAAAATTTAAATTGAGAGAATTCTAGAGTCTCAAACTATTTGAACCTAGATTCTTGAATTTCCAAAATCATAGAATTACAGAATTCTAGGGATAGTTGAGTGGCTCAGTTAATTGAGCATCTGCCTTTGGCTCAGGTCATGATTCTGGGGTCCTGGGATCAAGTCCCGTGTCAGGGTCCTTGCTAGGCAGGGAGCCTGCTTCTCCCTCTGCCTGTCGCTCTCCCTCTCTCCCTCTCTCTCTCTCTGACAAATAAATGAATAAATAAAATCTTTAATAAATACATTTTTAAAAAGAACTATAGAATTCTAGATTGATGAAATCCATTTTATAGTCCCAGAATACTAGAATTCCAGGCTCTTTAGGTCCTTGATTTCATTCAGATAATTTTAAAACCAGGCTTTTGACCTAGAGAAATCTAGAATGTTAGAATATTGGATTTATACCTGCCTCCTTAGTGCAGTAGGCAGCGCATCAGTCTCATAGAATATTGGATTCATAACATTCTAGGACATAGAATTCTAGAATCGTGGATTCCTAGGGTGTTAGAATCTTAGAATCTACCTGATGCAGAAATCCTGAATTTCTATATTACCTCTGGAAAGGGGTAGCCCATCTTGCTGTGATGTTTTTCCCTCCAGGGATGAAGCCCAGAATGCTGTGTGGGAATTTCCCATCTTGCATTGCTCCATGACAGGACCTCTTTCAGCTCAGGTCTGTACAGAAGGCTAGAATACTCAGATTTCAGCTCCAAAGACTAAGGAGAGAAGCAGAGATATAGAGGTAGAAAAGATTCGGGCTTGAGAACAAGTTGGGGAAGACTGTTTTCCAGATATGGAGCCCAGGCAATGAGGAGACAGAGATAGAAATAATGTCTCATACTCTTCAAATCCTGAATTCTTAGTCATAAGCCTGGTCGCTAAGGTCAGAGGTCAGAAGCTAAGGAATGGATATGCACATCCCCAGAGAGCCCCCAGCTGTCCAGGGCAGGAAACCAGAGCAGAACAAGTGGACTGAGAGCTTGAGTCGGGTCTCAGGAAGACATGCATTGAGGGTGAGGGATATGGCTGACAAGAAAAGCCTGAGGCCACGGATGACCCCAAACTTGGGGATTTTCCATTTCTCATCCCCCTCCATGCACACACAAACATACACACACACACACAGAGCCACTCCCCACAGAAGCCACCAGACCTGTAGGGGGTGGGGCTGTTCTTGTATGGTAGGTGGAGCCCCCATGTGCTTGCATCATTCCAGGGGACCCAGGTCACCATCAAGGCTCCAGGTGGAGCAGGAAGGAAGGTGGTTTACTTAATATGGGACTAGGAAGGGGTGTGAGCCTTTAGGAGAAAGCTACAAAGGTAGAGGCACACAAAGTGTTGGAGTGAGAAGCTGAAGCCCAGGGAGGGTGTGTGCCTTGCTTAAAATCACACAGCACTCTGGGTCATACAGAAATGACAGGGCCCCAGAGAGAGCGTGTGGCTTGTGGAGCACCTATCACTCTGGTGGACACCCAGCTTGACCTCTGAGGCCTGTCCCAACAGGTATCTGTGGGTCCGCCTTGGGGAGCACCACCTCTGGCAATGGGAGGGTCCAGAGCAACTGTTCCGGGCCACGGACTTCTTCCCCCACCCTGGGTTCAACAAGGACCTCAGGGCTCACGACCACAGTGATGACATCATGCTGATCCGTCTGCCCAGGAAGGCACACCTGGGACCTGCTGTGCAACCCCTCAACCTCAGCCAGACCTGCGTCTCCCCAGGCACCCAGTGCCTCATCTCAGGCTGGGGGGCTGTGTCCAGTCCTAAGGGTACAGCCTTGCCCACAACTCAATCCCTTGTGGCTCATGCTGAGGGTCTGAATCCCCCCTATTTCTCTGTCTCTGTCTTTTCATCTGATAGATAGATAGATGGATAGATAGACAGATAAGGAAAAAATCCAAAATGCTATAAGTTACAAGATGCATCATTTACAACCACTAAGAATAGGGATTACAGTTCCCGTGAATCCTTGTATGACACCATTTGCTGGAAGACACGCCCTGATTTCAGAGATATTTAAATATGAAAATACAGACTTCATAGAATTGAAATGAGGCCTGAGTCTCTCAGAGTCACAAATCAGCCACCCATTAGCCGCACTGAGCCTCCCACATCAGTCCTGGCTTTCAAAATGCCTTGAAAAAATAGTTTGAGTTTGAGAGATTTTACATAAAAGCCAAATTTCTGCAATTACTGGGAAAATCCAAAGAGCTGACAATGCAGGACCCGCATTCCCCAAACACCGACCGTCGGGCAGAATCAGCGGAGGTTGCCGCCTTCAGACCAGATGTGGGTTTTCTGGGCCGCTACAGTGCCCCCTACTGGCTGCTGTGTCTGCCTGGTCCCCTTCACCCACTTTTTTTTTTTTTTTTTTAAGATTTTATTTATTTATTTGACAGACAGAGAGGGAGTGAGCACAAGCAGGGGGAGCAGCAGGAAGAGGCAAAGGGAGAAGCTCTGCAGGGAGCCCGATGTGGGACTCCATCCTAGGACCCCGGGATCATGATCTGAGTCTAAGGGAGCCGTTTAACTGACTGAGCCACCTAGGTTCCCCCTCTCCACCCATTTCTATTTGCTTGTCAAGCCCACCTGAATCTGTGCCCCTGGATTATACACGTGGGTCTATGCCTATCTATATCCATGTCTGTTTTCGATATGCTGTTTCTCCCTGTGTTCCGTATCTCTTAAGTCTTTATCTCTATCTCTGTCAATGACCATGAACGTCTCCTGTCTTTCTCACTGCCTTCTCCCTTGGCATCTCGGGGCCTGTTTCTTTCTCTTTTCTCTTTCTTCATGCTTCCTCTGAGAATCTCTTTCCCCTTAAGAGGTCTATCTGCTGCAATGGTCTCTTTTTCTCTGTGCGTCATGTATATATCTCTTCTTGGCTCTCTGCATCTTTCTGTTTCCCTGTTTCTCTCTTTGGCTCTCCCCCTCTCCTCAACCATCTGTTTCTCTTTCACAGTGTGATTCTCTCTGTCACTGTCTCTTGTTTCTATCTTTGAGAGTCTTCTGCTGCAACTCTGTGGGTCCGACGGTCTGGGTGGCGGGACTGCTGAGTGTGATGGTCACAGCTGTTGATACTATGGGTGGATCTCTTTTGCTAACAGTGCAGTACCCACTGACGCTACAGTGTGCCAACATCAGCATCCTGGATCACAACCTCTGCCGTTGGGCATATCCGGGCCACATCTCGGACAGTATGCTCTGTGCCGGCCTCTGGGAGGGGGGCCGGGGCTCCTGCCAGGTGAGAGCTACTCTGGGAAGGAGCAGAATGGATATTCTGCCGGATTCCTGGGTCCTAGGGAATTAGGGAGTTGGGGGCCCCCAGAATTCATGGATGAAAGCATGGAGGGACCCAGGACACTTGGGTTCTGGGAGAGGATGGGACTGGGGCCAGGATTCCTGGAGGCCCAGACTCCAGAATCTAAAGGAGAGGACTGGGAATACAGACTTTAAGTCCTTCGGGGGAAGAGGGGACTAGGATCCCAGAGTGCTAAGTGCAGGGGTGAGGTGAGGGCTATGAGCTCATACTCCTGGGTCTGAGGCAGGAGGGACTAGTCGCCTAGATGCCTAGAGGCCAAGGTGTCGGGAGAGGAGGACACGGGGCCTCCTGAGAGGAAGTGGCCAGTGTAATATGAATACACCTGCTTAACAGTTTCTTTGCTCTTCTGCCGCTCACAGGGTGACTCTGGGGGCCCCCTGGTTTGCGACGGGACCCTGGCGGGTGTGGTATCTGGGGGTGCCGAGCCCTGCTCCAGACCCTGGCGCCCCGCCGTGTACACCAGCGTGTGCCACTACGTGGACTGGATCCGAAAAACCATGGAGGACAACTGAGCCCTCATGCCTTGGGCGACCAAGAGAGGAGGGTGGGCTCAGGGTAGCTGGAAACAGCCGGACTCCGGCCGCAGAGGTCTCAGCGGCCCCGAGACGCCTCGGATCTTGAGGCTCCGAGCCCTCAGGGCCCAACCCGTTGGAAAGCAGCGGGGAGACACAACCGGCCCTGTAGCCCCGCCTCTGTGATGTCGCCGGAGCGGGCAGCAACCCCGTGGAGCAGCTTCACCTGTGGCTCCGCGCCAGAAGCACCTCCAGCAGGCTCCTCCCCTCGGAACTTTGCCCAATGAGACTTCCCCTCTGGGCCCCACCTCTTGTAACCCCGCCTCCTCCGTGGGAGAGCCCGCCCCCGTGACGTCAGGGGCGCTGTAGCTTCCCCTACAAGGCTCCGAGGCGTGGTCGGGCTCCGCCCCTTGTGCCCGCGCCCCTGGGTGTTTGAATCCTGGCGGGGACCCGACTGAGAGAAATTGAGGGAGGGTCTCAATTCATCCAGAGTCAATGGATGATTTTACAATAAACGCGTGGAACCGCGCCTTCCGTCTGCCTGCGTTGTGGGATGAAGGAAAAAACAACGGGTGGGCGGCGGTGGGTAGACAGGGAACCGCCACCGTACAGCAACTCCCCCTTTACCCCTCGTAGGTCCTGCCTAAAGTCTGTCTCCATCAGCCTCTATTGCAGCAAGGCCGCTGAGTTCTGCTTGGGCTGGTCCCGTCGCCCCCAGGGGAAGGGGAAACCAGGTCACGGTGCCTCCCAAACCTGCCTTCCCAGATCCCGAACTTCTTAGGGGGTAGCGGGCGGGGCCCAATCCGCCCTCAGAAGACTCACCTTTTTGCCACTTCCAGTTAGTGGCAGCAACCCCCTGCTCCCACAAAAGCCCAGGCTCCAAGTCACTCCTAAAAAGACTTAAGAATTTAGCCCCTAACCCCCTTCTTTCTCAGACCAAAAATTCAGGCCTATTCTCCCTCCACCCCAGAAGCAAAAGTTCGGGTCCCAACCCCATCCACCGTCGGACTCAGGAGCCCAGAACCCCATTCCTTCCCGTCCCAGGTCCAGGAGTCCAGACCTTACCTCCCTTCCCTCAATTCAGGGCTCTGGGCCCCCAGTTTCTCTTCCCCCAGCCCCCTCCTCCAGACCCAGAGTGCAGGTCCCCAGCCCCCCTCCTCTCTCAACCCAGGATTCCGGGTTCCAGCTCCCTACTCCCTCAGACCCAGGAGTTCAGACTCCCCAGCCCCTACCTCCCCTGGACCCCGAATTCAGGTCCCCAGCCCCCTCTTCCCTCGGATCCAGCTGTCTGGGTCCCTGGCCCTTTCTGTTTCAGGCCCAGAAGTCACAGCACTGATGTCCTTCTTTCCCAAGCCTGAGGAGTTCCAGATCCTAGCCACCACCCCCCACCTCAATGTTTCCCTTTCAGCCCCTCAGCCCCTCCTCACTCATGCACAGGGTTCCAGTTCCCTGATGCTCTGTCGGCTCCAGAGCGGGAGGAGGCGGAGCGGAAGGCGGGGATTCCCAGTTAAAAGCCTCCAGAACCTAGTACCAGGCAGACAGAGCTGAAGTATTGGGGCTTCTTCCTCTGGGTCTGAATCAGTCGGTGACCCCGCCCCCTGGATTCTGCAAGGTGAGATGCCAAAGTTCCTAGACACAGGCATCAGGCCCAGGGGACCCCTGCTCCTCCAGGGCTCAGGATCCCCAATCTCAGACCCCTTCCTTCCTCAAGGTTTAGGAATCTAGCCCGCCGCACCCTCCTCCCCAAGGCGTAGGAATTTTAACTCCAAGTTCCTTCTTCCTTCAGATCCAGGGGTCTGGGACTCTTAACTCTCCCATTCCTGGGAATGTAGGAATCCAGCCCCCACCACCTTTCCTCAGATTCAGAAACCTGGGGTCTGTCCCTTTTCCCTCAGACCTAAGAAGCTGGATCCCCAGTCCCCTCCACCTGCAGGACCCAGAAGAACGGCTCCAGATGCTCTGCTCCCTTACTTCAAGTTTCTCCTAGGATTTAGGAGAAACCTCCTCATTTCTCAGCCCTGACTTCTCCCTCTGCCAGATCCCACCATGGGACATCCCTCACCCGCTGCAGTCTGGACCTGGATGTTCCTGTTCTTGCTGTTGGAAGCCTGGGCAGGTGAGGGGGGCCTGGCGGGAGCCTGTAGGAATGCTGTGGTAGGTGCTGGTGATGGCATGCGGGGAGATGTGAAACATGCTATCATATGTGGGAACTCCTCTGGGCTTTCCTGGGTGGATGGAGGCATGCACACATGGCAGTGGGCAGGAGTGTGTCAGGTTATGCTGCATATTGCAGGAGCACACCAAGCCGGCAGGGCTGCTTGCTGAGGGGTGCAGATATGCACAGTATACAGGGCGTGCGGACGCATGTGGGAACATGTGGAAGCATGCTTGGGTGTGTGACTCGGTGTGACTCATGGGCATCAATAAGTGGACGTGTGCCTCTGTGTGTGACAGCCTGTGCAAGCTGGGGGCCTCACAGTCCCGGTGTGGACATGTGAGGAGGCAGGTGGAGAACTTGCTCAGTGTCCTTTGGAACCCACAGTAGGTTTTCCTGGCCTCTGCCCTGTCCCAGGGGGTGATGATCCAAACCCTCTCCCTCCTGCTGCAGGACACTTGAGGGCACAGGAATCCAAGGTGCTGGGCGGCCAGGAGTGTGAGCCCCATTCGCAGCCTTGGCAGACAGCCTTGTTCCAGGGTATCCGGCTGCTATGCGGGGGTGTCCTCATCGATGACAACTGGGTCCTTACAGCAGCCCACTGTAAAAAACAGTGAGTGGATGCCTGGGGCAGAGGTGGGCTGGGACCTGGGGATAGGGGGAAGAAGAGAGCTGGAGACTGCGCCTCTGAATGCAGAGGGCCAAGGGAGGAGGGGACTGGGGTCCCAGACTCCTGCCTGGGTCCCAAATTACTCTCCACCATTACAGGAAGTACACAGTACGCCTGGGGGATCACAGCCTGAAGAATAAGGACAGATCAGAGCAAGAAATGGCTGTGGCTCAGTCCATCCAACACCCCTGCTACAACGGCAGCAATGAGGACCACAGCCATGATCTCATGCTCATCCGACTACGTGGTCGGGCATCATTGGGGCCCACAGTGAAGCCCATCAGCCTGACGGATCACTGCCCTGAAGTTGGCCAGAAGTGCACCATCTCGGGCTGGGGCACTGTCACCAGCCCCCGAGGTAGTAGGAGGGAGCAGAGGAGCTGGCCGGCCCAGTGGACCTCAAGCCATTGGCAAAGCTTTGCCTCCAGAAGGAGATAGAGAAGGGACAGTGATTGTGTGGTTGAGATGCACAGATGGCCCATGTTGGAAACCTGGAAGGCCAGAATATTAACAGGAGTGGTGGGAGAAAGGAAGCAAAATAACAGATGTTAAAAAAGGTTCCCCAAGAAATGGATGCATGAATGAGTGGGTAAAGGATGCATGCCTCCTTGGGGCACCTGCATGGCTCCATCGGTTCGGTGCCTGACTCTTGATCTCAGTTCAGGTTGATCTCAACAGCCTGACTTCAGGCCTCAACTTGGGCTCCACACCCAGCTTAAAAAAAAAAAAAAAAAAAGAATGCATGCCTCCTTCATGGTGGAGACTACCATGTTCTTTTTCTTTTTTTTTTTAAGATTTTATTTATTTATTTGACAGAGAGAGAGAAAGATCACAAGTAGGCAGAGAGGCAGGCAGAGAGAGGGGGAAGCATGCTCACTGCTGAGCAGAGAGCCCGATGTGGGGCTCGATCCCAGGACCCTGAGATCATGACCTGAGCTGAAGGCAGAGGCTTAACCCACTGACCCACCCAGGCGCCCCCTTTTTCTTTTTTTTAAGATTTTATTTATTTGAGAGACAACAAGAGAGAGAGTATGAGATCAGGGGGGAGAAGCAGAGGGAGAGAGAGGAGACTCCTCACTGAGCAGGGATTCCCAACTCAAGGCTCGGTTCCAGAACCCTGGGATCATGGCCTGAGCCGAAAGAAGATGCTTAACCAACTGAGCCACCCAGGCAATCCCATGGAGAGAACCATGTTATGAAATTTGTCCTCGCACAGGATTTTCTATAATCTTCTTAACAGACTTAGGATATGTGGGCTCCTCAGTGGCCCAAGAAAACAAGCTCCTAAGCATCTTCTCCCTTTTGAGCACATGATTCCTGGTGCCAGAGACTCTCTTCCTTCACAACCAGAAATCCAGACCCTTCCCCTCCCAAGACCCAGAGTCTAGGTCTCCAGCCCCCTCCTCAATCTGGACCCAAAGTCTTGACCTATGTTAAGGTCCTCCTTTTGGGACTTCGGAGTCCAGGAGACCCTCACCCTACTTCACAGCGAGAACTGAGGCTCAGCTCAGAGAGGCATGTGATTCATCAGGAAATCCAGGATTTTCCAAGCAAAGACAGGATTCAGATCCCTGCCTGTCGGAATCCTACTTCTAAGGGGACAATGGGATGCTGTGGAAACCCAACTGCTCGTGAATCAGTCAGGTCAGTTCAAACCATGGCTCTGCCCTTTCCTCTGGCCAAGCCCCTTCCCATCTCTTGTCCCATTTGCCTCATCTGCAAAATGATAGATTTTTAAGGTTAGATCATAGATTTTAGGTAATAGATAGATCATAGATTTTTAAGCTCCAAAAGGGCTTTTAAATCTATTTTCTTTGTTGTGTGTTCCTAGTGCTCAGGATGGTTCCTGGTACATGTAGGTGCTTGATAAATATTTTTTGAATGAATGCATGGATGAATGAATGATGGAGCAAATGAACATACCCCTCTTTCTTAAAAAAAAAAAGATTTCTCAATTTATTTGAGAAAGAGAGCAGGGGGAGGGGCAGTGGGAGAGGGAGAAAGAGAATCTCAAGCAGGCTCCCACTCAACTCAGAGCCCAATATGGGGTTCGATCCTATGACCCTGAGACCATGACCTGAGCCAAAACCAACAGTCAGATGCTTAACCAACTGAGCCACCCAGGTGTTTCTGCATCCCTCTTTCAAAAAGCTATTGTGAGTTCAGACTTCTCACAATCAATGAGATTGTGAGTATACAGCTTCTGGAACATAGAGGTGCCAGATAGAAGTTTTCCCCCCTCAAGTCTATTGCTCCAAGTGTAATAAGAAAGATTAATTACATTTTCTTTCTTTTTTTTAATTGAAGTATAGTTGCCACAACATTCT